ATTTTTTTTAAATATTTTATTTATTTATTATGTATACAGTGTTCTATCTGTGTGTATGCCTGCAGGCCAGAAGAGGGCACCGGACCCCATTACGGATGGTTGTGAGCCACCATGTGGTTGCTGGGAATTGAACTCAGGACCTTTGGAAGAGCAGGCAATGCTCTTAACCACTGAGCCATCTCTCCAGCCCCCTAAATATTTTATTTTTATGTGTATGAGTGATTTGTCTGCATCTAAGTGTACCATATGCATGCAATGCCCACAGAGTCCAAAAGAGGGCACTAGATCTCCTGGCACTGGAGTTATAGACAGTTGTAAACTCATGTGGGTGCTGGGAATATAACTGGGTTCCCCTGCAAGAGCAACCAGTACTCTTAGCTGCTGAGCCATCTTGACAACCCCACGTTACCCAGTTCTGAGTATTGTTCACAGTTATCCTGTTGAGTGACCCTCACCACCAGTTCTGAGTATTGTTCACAGCTATACTGTTGATGACCCTCACCACCAGTTCTGAGTGTTCACAGTTATACTGTTGAGTGACCCTCACCACCAGTTCTGAGTGTTGTTCACAGCTATACTGTTGGGTGATCCTCACCACCATCTACTTCCCCACTCGAAGGTCCATGCCCATTAACTCCGAGTACCTCTGCCCCTTCCTCTTAGGGGAAACACCACCTGCTTCCTATCTCTGCAAACGTGAATCGCCCCTCGTTCATCATTTTGTGATGCACTTATTTCACCTGGCATGGAGCTTGCAAGGCTCATCTGTGTCACAACACAAGTCAGAGTTTCTTTTTAAAGCTGAATAAAAAGTGTTCAGACTACACTTTGTCTATCCACTCATAGACATTTATGGGGTTTCCAGCTTTGGGTATTGTGAAAAAACATTGGTGTGAATATTAGTGTGAAGATGCTCTCTTTGGGTCCCGGCTTTCAGTACGTGTGCACATGCATGCACCTATAGGTGAAATCGCTGGACCTTATGGTAGTTATGCGTTGATTTTTTGAATAATTATTATGTTGTTCTCCACAAAGGTAACACCATTTCATATTCTTGGTGGCAATGTGCATATGGTCATTTTACATTTTACAAAATAGCATCATACCATTAATTTATTGATATCATTTGGAACAGTGTTTTTCTTTAAAATGAAAATTACATTTACTTATTTGTGTATGTATATTCATTTATGGGGGCGGGGTATGTGCCATGCCTGTGTATGGAGGTCAGGGAACTTTCAGGAATTCAGGTTCTCAGCTGTTGAGCTGGGTTTTTTTTGGGGGGGGGTTCTAAGAGGGTCACCTGTGGGAGGAGCTACAAAGAGCTGCCACCTCTAGACCACTGATTGCTGGGTGAGGTCCTCTGATGAAAATTCCAGCCCCGGTTTGTCCGCGTGCTTTCACCAGGTGTCACCTTTCTGTGTGAAATGGAGGCAGAACACGCCTGCACTTCTTCTAGGTTCACCGCCTGTGGATGAATGATCTTGCCTGCGATCAGGTGTGCGCTTCTTTGCACGAGTCCCAGGAACCACACCATGTACACTGTAGCATGCGGGTGTCCCCAGCTCTGACCTGAGTGTGCTGTCTATTTCTAAGGAGACAGAGCTGCCTCCACCCCCCTCTCCTGCCTCTGCTGAACTTTGCACTCACCGTGATGAAAAATTAACCGGGCTAATGTTTCCCTCCCAAGGACAAGGACAAAGTCTGCATGGCAGGCCTGGCTGGATCCCAGGAGACGAGGTGCCAGCCGGAGCCAATCCTGAGCCATCACCTATTCAGTGCCCACAGGAGGAGGGGCTATTTCTCCCCCTTGTTCAGAGCTTTGTGGAACTGGCCTTGTGCCCCAAATGTTCTCACAGGAAGACTTGAGGGAAAAAAAATCCCAGTGCTCAGGAGGCAGAGGCAGGCAGATCTCTGAGTCTGAGACCACCTCATTTATTGAGTGAGTTCCAGGACAGCTAGAAAAGAAAGAAAGGCGAGAAAGAAAGAAGGGAAGGGAGGGAAGGAGGAGGAGGGAAGAAGGGCGCTCTCAGATGTGCAGTTAGGTACAGCAGTTTTCTGGCAACTCAGGTGGTCCTTGTCACAGACACTTGTTCAGTCGCACAGGTGTGTCTGCCTTATTTTCTTCCCCCAGGGAAATGAATGGGTGGGTGATGGTCCCTTCTGGAGCCTCAGTGACTTAAAGGTTCTTCTATGCAGCTGACTCCTCTTCTCTCCCCTTCTCTCTGCAGCTTTTCTCTCTCCTCAGGCTCCCTCCTTTTCTCCAGGGTGCAAAAAACTTCGCTTAGACATGGCTTCCCCTGTGGGAGAGGGACCTGTCCTGGAGAACAATCCTAGGCTTCTAACTTACTTTCTAGACTCACCACGTTGTCCCGCCGAGAGACTGGAGGCTCAGCCAGATGAAGGGTCAAGAGCCAACAGTCAAAACAGATCAGGGATGGAGCCTCAACACCTTGGACTTGACCTGGCTGCCTCACGAAGGCTCAACTGCCTCGGTTTGCTGAACTTGACTGGAAGATGATTGGTAGATCCCTTTCTGTCCTACTAAGCACACCTTCATCCCTATCTCTTGGTGCTTCTCTGGTCTGTGAGCATCGTGTGCCCTGGGACCTTCTTCCTCTTCCTCTTCAATTTCCCAACAAGCAGCAGACTTGTGACAAGGAAGTGCTGGAGAGACAGAGGCAGGATCTGACAGAACCCAGCTTCCCTGGCTGCGTGGTATCAACACTGGCCTCTGGCGTGGGTCCACTCCGATCTTGGACAGGAGGTGGGGAGGAGTGGGCCTGGGAACATTTCTGGCAATCTCGTAATTAGGCACCTGTGAGAAGAGCTTTTGTTTTGCAAATTGTGTCAAAGATGCCCTTTACAACTCCAGGCCCAAGAGCAAGACCTCAAAAACAAAACAAAAAAAAAACCTGAGTTTAAATCTTGGCTCCCTTCCTCGGGGTCATGCCTTCCAGGCAAATATGGGCGTGGACTTCGAGGGCAGACGCGAGACTGTCTCGGTAGAAGACGGCAGTTGAGACAGCCTACCTTTCCAGTCTCTTGATAAGGGCTGGGAAGTCGAGTGGAAGAGGAAGGCCACAGCCACGATCTAACAGGAGGGCAGGAACCGGCTTGTTAAGGTTCAGTGGGTCTCAGGGATCCTCCATTTAGGACTCGGCCTCAGGGAGGTGGAAGGGGAGGCCTAAAAAACCACAGTCTCTGACGAGCTGTGGCTGCTGGTGGGGCATCCTCGGTAACAGAGCTGGGGGCCCCTGCAGCTTCTAGGCTGACTTTGTGGGATTGGCCACACCTCACAGGGCTTTGTAACTCCCACCGCCTCTTGGTTTGCAAATAAACTTCTTTCTCACCACGGGAGGTGGTGGAGGGGTTTCCCACCGTTTAAAACAAGCATAGCTTTAGCTACTGGGCTAACCTGATGGGGAGGCGGCAACCGGGTAAAAGACCTGAGGGCCTGCTGTAACGCCCCCAAACCGGTGGAGGGACCCATGGGCAGTCAGCCCTGATTTCCGCTAGTTGGGGGAAAGCCCCAGGGCTACCCAAAGTCAGGTTCTACTGGCCTCTCACCTAGGCTAATTTTGAATTAATTTCCAGAATCCTCCCGGCTCGCTCCACTTTGTGCGAGTCCACTGTTCTGTTAACAAAGCTCTCTTGCTTGTTTGGCGTCGAATTTCAGTAACACCCTGTAATGTTAATTCTCCCCCTCCCCCAAAGATAAATCCTAAAGCGCCCCCATTCATTCCTTCAGGAACGCAACAGATGTCTTTGAGGCCCGTTTTCTGCAGAGATTGGTTCACTAGGCCCAAGGGACCCCTGGCTTCAGCTATTGTTCAAGTTGTCATTGACGTCTCTAACTCCACTTTTAAGTCTCCCTCTCCCCCTTCCCAACTCCCTCCTCCGCAGTCTCGGGGCAGTTAGCCGGTCTGATCTCACCCAGCAGGAAAACAAAAACAAAACAAAAAACACCAAACCAAAGCAAAACAACCCGGGCCACTGAGCGAGACCAGTGCGCCCCGGCTTCCTGGGCTTGGAACAGAACCCCTCTTCGTGTTCGGGTCCTTTCCCGAGAGCAGCGAGCCCTAGGCGGCACACGCCTGTTCTCTGCGAGTCTAACCCTCTCTAGTCCCTGCAACTGCCTCTGAGCTTCTTGAGGGCGGCGAGTCCCCAGGAGTCCCGTCCCGCGGCACTTGGCAGAGGTGACGGCCGCCGTGCCCGGTGGCCCACGTGGGCGCGCTTGGCGGCGCGGGGCGGGGAAGGCCGTGGGTCCTCCCCGGAGCAGGGCGCGGGGGAGGAGCGGGGAGCCCCGGCGGCGAGGGGGCGGCGACAGCGCTGGGAAGGAGGCTGCACGCGGAGCTGCGTGAAACGTAGATTTGGGAGCGGGCGGGAGAGGAGCCGGGAGCGCGGCAGCACGGCCCTGGCCAGCCCTGCGAGGAGGCGATCGCAGGGGAGGAGGAGGAGCAGGAGGAGGAGGAGGGCTGCAGAGGCGGAGGGATCTGCTCACCAGAGCCAGCCAGGCCAGCAAAGTTTGGCTGGGGGTTGGACTTTCCTTCCCGGAGGCGGCACCCAAACAGCTACCCCGTGCGGAAACCCAAACTTTCTACTGCCACTCCGAGTCTCGCGGCCGCCGCCTCCGCCCCGCGCGCCCGGGGCCTGCCCGTCAATCCGTCGGTCCTCGTGGAGCTGCTCGGGCGCCGTAGTGCCCCTGATCCCCGCAGCTACAGCGCCGCGGCCCCGGCCCAGAAGCCGGGGCAAGTTCTCCAGAGTTAGACGCGAAGTTTCGGGCGCGGCGCGGGCCGAGCTGCCCCTGTGCGCCCCCGGCGTCCCCAGAGCGCCCAGTCCCGCCGGGGGCGCCGGTGACCCTCCCGTGCCAGCCATGTCGTCCATCCTGCCCTTCACCCCCCCGATCGTGAAGCGCCTGCTGGGCTGGAAGAAGGGCGAGCAGAATGGGCAGGAGGAGAAGTGGTGCGAAAAGGCGGTCAAGAGCTTGGTGAAGAAGCTCAAGAAGACCGGGCAGCTGGACGAGCTGGAGAAGGCCATCACCACGCAGAACGTGAACACCAAGTGCATTACCATCCCCAGGTGGGGGCCCGGAGCAGCGGGGGGCGCGCCGGCCCAGCCCCCTAGGGCGGCCTGGGTGGAGAGGGAGGGCGTGTGCGTGTGTGCGCGCGCGTTAATGTAGGGGACAGGCAGTGGGTGGAGGGACCCCCAAACAAAACCTTCGGATTTGCCCAGGCTCAGAGCCCAGGCTTCCATGCGGCACTCTGGCATCCAGACCTCAAAGATCGCTAGCCGCCTCCGGGCAGCAGGGGTGCTGCTGAGCTTGGCCCCCCACTCTCCGTGCTTTGGGCTCCAAGTAGAGGCCCCGCTTTGTTCGGCTCTGCCGGCCGAGCCCCTCCTCCGCCGCCGCCTCCCGCCCCGCGCTCGTGGAGGTGGTGGCGTGTGTCCCTTTCTTTTCTTCAGCTCTGTTCCCCCCACTTCTCTTCTTCGTCTACAGGAATGCAGTCGGTACAGCTGTGGGTGAGGAGCGGGAGCCCGTTGATTGACAGATTCCTTCTTCGCTCTTTCTTTGCCTTGGGATTAGCATTTTTATCGAGTATTTTTAGATTTGGTTGTGCCAGCCTCCCACCCCCTGTGCACGCATGCACGCACGCACTTAGTTGCAGAGCAAAGCACCGACTTTGAAGCGGGAGAAACAAGTGGCAGAAAGTAGGGGCATTCCCTCGTCTCACCCCACCCCTGCCTTGTTTGCCATCGTTTTAATAGAGAGTTTGCGGGTGCCGAGAACCGAGCAGGCAGCTCCAGACAGACAACAAAACACCCCAGAGCTGGCCTCCCATCGTCCCTGCATTCCTGTAGAGCCCTCTTTTCCCAAAACGCTTTGCCATCTGTCCTGACCTCCTTCCCATCGGGCTAGAGGAGTCCGGCGGGAGTTCACAGATGGCTGATGGAAGGGGTCAGTGACTTCACTCCCAGGCCCTCCCCAGAGCATAACCGCGCCTGGAAATTGGGGTGAGGGCACCTTAGCCTTCTGTCTCCACTTCTCAAGACACCTTTAAAGACTGATTTCAGAGGAGGGACAGGTGGGAATGTTTGGGGGTGGGGGTGGGGGTTTGTCCTAGGCTGCAGAGAAATGGAGAGGGGGCTCCCATGGCCTAAGACAGAGAGGTCATCGTCCTTCTGGGCCAGGGTGGCCTCCATCCTTGGCCACCTGCTCAAGGCAGCTGTGTATGTGCTCCAGCCCTGACAGTAAGGCACAAAGCAACATCTGTCCACAGGAACCCAGGGTCAGCCTTCCCTGAAAATAAACACCACATATGGTGGGAATGCCTGCTTAAAAAATAGTTAAAAAAAAAAAAAAAAACACAAAACCAACCCCCAAACCTGGGTGGGTGGATCCCATCAACAAAGGGGGAGGGAAGGCAGTCTGGGAAGAACACTTGGCCTGTGAGCCTCTGCCAGCTGGCTTTAGGGGAGGTGGTGGGGATGTGGTGGTCAGAGGCACCTGGGTTTTAGCTCCGGTTCCGGCTCTTCATTCTTCTTTAGCCTTTTGATGAAGTGGGATGGTTGAGTTGGTCTCTGTGAGATCCTGAGAAATGGCCTTTTCCTAATATGCCTGGGACCGATTGCTTTGTGATTTGAGCCCCCCTCGGAGTGATATCATTTATGAAACAGCTGTGCAGGGTGTTTCATAGTGTACAAGGCACTGTCAAACGGCCCGGCGAAGGCCGGGGAGAAGGCAGAGCTGGGAAACAGAAATGGCAACCAGGTCTAAATGATTTGGACTTTGAACCAGACGGAACTTCACAGGAGAGAGGGAAAACGTAAGGCTGGGTCTAGCATCCGCTTTTCTCCAGGCTCTTTTGAACCCTGGGAACCAGAAGCATCCTTATCCAGGGTGGGCGGTGGAGCTCCATCTGGAGGGTTCTCAGTTAATCTTTGGGCTGGGGGCCTCATAGAGGAGAAGCTGTTTTCCTTAGCCTGCATTTGCCTTCTGACCTTGCTTTCCCTTGCAGCCCTTCCCAGCCTGGGACAGTTGGAGGTTTGTGTGCTTCTGAGAGTTCAGGCTGACCACCCTCACACCACCTGGACCTTCTAGGGCTAGGTATCTTCAGTGTGTACCTAGAAGGTGGGGTGTGGAAGCAGGGTTTTGGTTGGTTGGTTCTTTGGTTGCACTGAGGATTGAACCTAAGGCTTCTGACGTGTTAGGCAAGCCCTCTGCTCCTGACCTACACACTCCTAGCTCTGGGATTGTTTTCTTTCCTCTCTTCTCAACTAGAGAGCCCCAGTTGCTTGGGTGGATCCAGACAAAGGTGGATTTCCATCCCTGGATTTTGTGCCCACGCCTCTGGGTCACGCTTTCTCCCTTGGCAACAGCTGCTGCTGTTTTGGCCATGGGCAAAAAGCTAAAGGCCATGGCTTGGGGAGGCGACTAGCTGGCTTCATACTAGTGCTCTCCCGGTGGCTGCTAAGCCCCAGGGTTGCGTGTTGCTTGTCACATTGCTGTCTTTGAGAACTAGGGCTTTGGAAAGTAGACAAAGGAAAGTGTGTGACTTAGTCACCCGCTTCGTGTGGGGCAGGAGGCGGGGACACTGGGTGCTTCAGCACATTCTGTCAAATCTGGAGCCCGGCTTTGACGACTCTCAGTCTGAGATACGGAGTGGACATCTTGAGCAGCAGAGGCACCATTTGGCTGTGGTCGCTGTCTGCCACATGCCGGGTTGGTTCCCCCAGCTTTAGGCGATTTGAATGATCCGGGGAGCTGGAGATACAGTCTGAAGAGATGAGGTGTAGGAATTTGGTCTTTCGCCACAGAGGGGAGAGCAGGGCATCTCAGATCTGACAGGCGTGGGGCAGAGCTTGGGTGAGTTCCACACCAGCAGTCCACTGCTTGAAAGCCTGAGAGGAGCCACAGGTGTCCTCCTCTCCAGTTCCTACACGGGTAGGTGAAGCATCTGCCTCTGAGAGCGCGCTCAGCAGCAGGGGCACCTTAGCCTCCTTTCCCACAAGCAACCACAGCTCACACTACGGTGTGTGGTCCATGGCTCAGTGAGTTGTTTCCAGCTGGACCACGCTAAAGGTATTGCTGGTTTAGAAAGTTATCTTAGGCTCTCTTACAACAGAGCATCAAGCCCAGAGAAAATTGGAGAAGTGAAGTAGGTCTCAGAGGGAGCATCTCCTACCTCTTTGTTCACCTCCTTTGTAGTGTGACCTCCTCCTGGGGCCCTCAGGAATGTTGCTCGGCTACCCTCAACTAGTGGAGAGAGGAAAAGTATCTCCACCTGTATCACAGCTTTCTCAGGCTTCTGCGGACAAACACCAAGGCTATAGATGATGCCCTGTAGGTCTCTGCACCTGAGGCCTCCACCCTCTGTAAACCCTCGGCAGGCAGCAAGCCTACTCCCAGCTGCCGTCCAGGCAGCTCATCCGATAGGGGCTGCAGGACACAGGGGAGCTAGCTGACTAGAGGGCTGACCCAAGTGTCACTTAGCATTCTCTGGTTGGGGGAAATTTGACCCTTGCAGCTTGAGGCTGGATGTTGGGACCCATACATGTTGCAGACAACATTTTACTCTCCATCTGTGATCAGGCCTTGTTTTTGTGTATGAAGTGATATTAACCAGACCCATGCCCTTTAGTCTCTGAGTCAGTGTTCTAAGTCCTCCTGGGGAAGGATGCAGAGATACATTTGAAAAGATTAGAGGGACTTTTGGAGAATGGTGAGGTGGGGTGGGGAAGATGCTTATGATAAATATTTTAAATGTGAAGCCACAGCAGTAGAATAGTAAACAGTGACAGCCACCTGTTTCCTCAGGGGAGGATAAACCTCAACCTCCCTAGAATTCAGGTTCTGGGTCTGCCATTTTCAAAATCATTTTTATTGTATTAATGTGTTTGTGTGTGGGGGAACCAGAAGACAGCTTGCAGGGGTTGGTTTTCTCCTTCCACTATGTGAGTTCCGTATATGGAGCTCAGGTCACCAGGCTTGGTGGCAACCATCTTTATTTCCTGAGACATCTCGCCAGTCCAGAACCTGCCTTTTACTACTTGAATGGGTTCGGGACCAGCAGGTTTCAGAGCCCTCCTGTCTGCACCTGTGAAATCGGGGTGAGAGGAGGGACCAGAAGAATTTGCAGATGTGCTGGGGAGATGTGTGTGTTTTGTCTTCTTTCCTTAGCACACATTGATGGGAACTTATTCAATCACGTATCAAGGGCCTTTCGAGATGGCAGTGCCTGAGGGGCACTTGTATTCCTGGAGCTCAGCCTTCCTACCCCAAGATGCAGGGCTCCCAGGGCGGCTGAGGGCTCCACAGTGTTCTGTGTTGGGAGCAGGTGTGTGTGTGTGCGTGTGTGTTGGGAAGTGATGCGTGTTGGAAAGCTGAAGTTGGGATCATGGTCTGAGGAGTCTGGACTGACTGCAGGAAGCCCGTGGGAACTGGTCTAGTCTTTATTATTAATGTCTATTTGTTGTACAAACTAGATTTCATTATGACATTTTCAAGTCTTGTATTTTGCTCATATTTATCTCCCATTACCCTCCCTGATCTCCTGTTCCCCACTGGTTTCCTTGTAGACCCTCTTCTCTTTCATCTCTTACTTACTTAAAAGAAGGAAAACTCTAGATTCTGCACATGAGAGAAAGTGTGCTATGTCTGTCTCAGTCTGGTGTTTGCCTAACATTGTGTGTGATCTTCAGTTCTACCCATTTCCCTTGAAGCACTTCGTGTGTGTGTGTGTGTGTGTGTGTGTGTGTGTGTGTGTGTGTGTTGGGACCCGAGGCCCTGTGTCTTGAATGACATCTTCATCTTCTGACTTTTGCCAAGCAGACAGATGCCGTGAATCTCTTACCTGTCACCTGCACAGCCGTGCTTGTGGGCTGAGTACTGCCTAAGACCCAAGTTTAAAGTGTTTTCTCTTTGAAGTAAAAGACAACTTAGTGTTGTAAACCTGAAATTCAGGTTTCCTTCCTGGGATCAGGGACTCTAGCAGGTGACTGTGAGTGCTTAGCCTTTCCTTTTGGTGCAACTTGGCTTTTCGTGTCCCTAAATGACACGCTAGCCACAGGATGTGAACCCCAGC